AATGGACATGCTATTTGCTAGGACTTGTGTCAGTCCTATGTCTAAGTGGCACATATTGCTTTTAAAGTATTTCTTCTCATAGACTGTTCGTTGGCTTAGAGGCAGAAACCATGTCAACCCATGCAAGCCAAAATAATCATCTGGAGTATTGCCTTATCTTCCTTCATCTGCGCTAGTAGGGATCGAGTAGGGACTGGAGTCCTGTAACTGCCTTGTAGTATCGGGCTTTGTTGCATGCTCGCACCGCCCAGTAGCCACATCGTCTNNGCCTGCTCCGGACACCTTCCCACCCGCGCTGCCCGTATTTGTGTTCCACTCCTGCCCTGACCTACTCCGAGGTGTGGATGGAGGATCTCAGCATTCCCCGCCTTAGAGCTTGCGTCCCAACTACAGCTGGGGCTGTGTGCCTCTTGGATCAGAAGCAAGCTGACGCATTTTGCAAAGCGCTCAAGGCCATGGCGTATGATGGAGCAGCAGAGCCAACCACTGACAAGAGCCCGTTTCTGCGGCAGGCTCAAGCCATGGACATTCCTTTGACGCAGCCACCCGCATCTTCCGGACAGTGTGCAAACCCAGACCTCCCCAGTTCCGAGCAGACAAGCACGGCGAACGCAGAGGCTGCAGAAGGCCAGCCTCCCCCAAAAAAGCTGCGAGGAGAGGCACCTTTGGTTGCAAGCATGTTTTCTGAGAGCTTCATTGCGGTGAAAGCTGCCACCAAGTCACACTTCTGCGCGCAGGCCGCTACGGTAGAGCAGTGGCGTGTCAACGCTTTTTTTAAGCGCACCTTCCCTCAAGCTTCGTCTGACTTGCTCCTGAACGTACCGCGTTGGTGGGTTGCTGCAGGACTGGCAGAGCGAGACCCCAATCAAAAGGTCAGCACTAAAGTAATCCTCAAAGCCCCGCCGCCCGACATGCTGGAGACAGTTGCGGATGCGCTGGCAGATGTTTTCAGTTTCACCAAGGAGGAGAGGACCAGCCTTCTCCGCATTTGGGACACTCGAGATGTCTCCACCACGTTTAGCAAGGATGACTTTGACAGCATGTGCCGTCTCCTGCGATGACTCGCTGCCCATGCTACTTCGGGGTTCGTTTGTAAAACTGTTGCGACGTCGAAGCATTAAGCTATACAGCCTCACTAAATCCATTGTAGCTTTGTCGTACTGAATGTGTAGCAGCTCGTTCAAAGTCCTGCATTCCAAATTCATGTTCGCTCGTGCATCTGTGGCGATTGCTGCGTGATTGCTTCTCCAATAAGACGACCCTGCTAGCTCGATGCAACGTTTAACTGTTAACTAAACTGAGGACATTCGAACAGAGACCCCATGTTCGAACCCGTGCACGCAGATTAGCTGCAGTTCTCGAGCAGCACAAGTGTTTAAGTTTCAGCTTCGATTCCGAAGTCTTGCCGGAGCCGCGACACCAAAACACCTGAATGCCGGACGTAGCAGCAAGGTGGTGCCACAGGGGTGCCCGTGATGCTGGCCATGCTAACGACGACCCAGGTGATAATGATGATGATGATGTGGGTCATGAACATGGGGGGGATAACTGCGACTACTTTTCGGCTTGCTTTTGCGACTGGGTGGGTGGGGGGTGGGGGCACGGGATAATAACGTTCTTGGTGTTAGGTCTGGTTTTGTTTCACGTTTTTTCTTTCAGTATTACTTCATGATCCACTTTGCTAGTCCGCATTATCGTGTCATATCTTCTCCTGTTATTTATACCTATGTTCACTTTCTTTCTCATGGGCAGAAGCTAAGTAGTTGAACCCTTTTGAAAAAACCAGCAAATTCATATTGCTGGACAGCGACTTTGCAATAATACTTGTGAAATCTGCATCGGATCAACTTGGGCAGATGTGCCTCTTGCAGTTTATTGCATCGGATGAACTTGCTCAGATGAGAAAAACTCTGAAAACATGAGCAAATCCATCTTGCTGGACAACAACTTTGCAATAATGCTTGTGAAATCTGCATCGGATCAACTTCGTCAGATGTGCCTATCGCAGTTTATTGCATCGGATGAACTTGCTCAGATGAGAATTGCACATCNNTGTTGTATGGAAAGCTTACGTAAATATTTCAAATGTCTTGTGGATATATACATATGTACTAACTCGACTCCATGTGCACACGTGAACCATGTCATGTCAGGACATATCACAGTAATAGCACACATCATGTATCATGTCATGTTATATCATGTCATGTCCTATTACGAAGCCTCAGCAGCCCGAAACATGGACTAGCGTTGCCAACACCGCAATTTTAAGCATATGCCAACTGTATTTCGAAACAGTAAACATAGCCTCAACTTTTACAACGAGAAGCGTGTTTCATGTGGCAGGCGCGGTGGATTCCAAGTTAATGTGCCTTTCCAAAGGCGCAACAATCCCCCCATGGGGCTCATCATGATGCTGCTGCTGCAGCGTCCTTTGAAGATGTCGCTGCTGGTGCTGCTGCTCCTGGTGATGACCACGGTGACGATGACAGACGATGACGGTGAAAATGTTGATGGTCACGATGATGGTGATAGCGATGATGATGGTGATGGATGCCTGTGATGTATGACGGACGATGCTGGCCATGCTCATGGCGCTGCTTGATTGGTTTTGACGTTGCGTCGCTGTTGCT